GCAAGGGAATGAGGAGCAGCAGCCTTTGTGTGTGCATGCACCCTCAGTTTTAGCCCAGAAGATAAGTTATTTAATATGTTTAATGTTTATGTGCTGTCCAGAAAAAGCACTTAAATATTACTGGTAAAATAATATTAGCATTTAATTTTTTGTACAGTAATATTGATATATAATATAATGCATATTGTTTATTTAGTAAATTCTAGTAGTTTAGAAAATTTGATATTTTTTTGTAAAATTTAAAAGAATAATTAAATAAATGTTATTACACCCAAAATTCATTTTTTTCAGTGTAAGTTCCACAATAAATCTGCTTTTTCAAGGGTTTTAATCTGTCTGAATTTTATTTGACGTTGCTTCAGAAAATGTCATTTAAACAAAGTTTTTTCAGTTCTAAAATGTGAGCTCAATTTTCCAGCCAGTGTCGCCACCGTTCTCAGCTGCTCATTCACTTGTGTCCTCACCTGCTGTGTCCTGCCAGACTCCCTCTCCTGCAGAGACAGCGGAGACTCGTCCTGCCTGTCCACAGTCTGGTGTGTCTTGCCTCCTTTGGCCTGGCTCTGCCGCTCGCTATCAGCCTGTTTCCACAGATGTCTCAGGTAATTACCGAAATGTTCATCTCTGCTAAGCAGTATGTCTTTAGTTTCCCCATAATCCCATAAAACAATAGTTTTAAAACTAACAGACTCTGTATCTGTAAGAGTTCAATGCTTGAGATAGTTTATAATCTAACCTTACTTTAAACTTCCCAACAACTTTATCCTGGACCTGTCTGTTGTGTTTCTTGCTCTTCATGATGCTGTTTAATCACTTGTGTTTGTTAACAAACTTATTAGTTAGTGGTATATTTGCAACACCTTTTAGATTTTTATTCATAAAAAATTAAAAGCAACATTTTCCTTCCACTTTACAATTATGTTATTTTGTGTTTGTCACATAAAATCCCAGTAAAATAGGTTAAAGTTTGTATCTATAAAGTGACAAAATGTGAAAATGCAAAGACACTTTTTCAAGGCTTTTTTTGCCTGTCGTCATCATCGTCACATCAAAGAATCAGTTTTTAACTGCAGTGTCCCAATGAGGGTTAAAGGAAAATGCCCACACTCAAAACCTCTTTGAATGAAGCAGGTGACATAAGGTGGGACAAGGGTGGTCCAACATACAGTATCATCAAAGACACACAGGTTCAGTGTGTAAAGATGGAGTGTATATATCAAGACTGTTTGTGTTCAGTGCATCAGCAGYGTTTTTCAGCCCTGCTCCTTAAGGCCCACTGCCTTGCATGTTTTAGAGGTCTCCCTGCTTTGACACACCTGATCCAGATGACTGCAGTTCATCAAAAGTYTGCTAATCAGTTACCAAGTGAAATCATCAGTATGTTTTAAATACACTTTTTTTTATCTGTTTAGATTCCATTAGTTGTCATGTTCCCAAAATTGATAGAGTACTAAAATGTATTCAAGTAAAGGTACAGTTACACTCTTAAAAAAATTACTTAAATAAAAATAAAAAGTAAGTCATTAAAAATTCACCCTGAGTAAAAGTTTTTAGTTTTTGCAGTGGAGGAGTGACTCTCCTGCAGTGCACAAGAGACTCTTAAAAGGGGACATACGCAAAATCCACTTTTTAGCCCTTAATTACATTTAATGTGTACCTGAAGTCTCTAGGAGTGCAGAAAAGTAGAATTTACTTTATCCCAGTGCTGTGTCGATATCTTTATTTTCTGTTTGGGTGATTTTTTTCAGCCAGTACAGTTTTTTTTTCTATTACATCAAATTATTTGTGACAGAACTGCTAAATAAGGTCTGGACTACAGTTTGGTTGTCATCAGACTCTGGCTCCATTATGTAAGGCTGAAAGGACAAGTTTTCCCCTGTTGGCATCTTTCAGTTAGTTTGTAAATGAAATCTGCTATCAAACCACAAAAATGGCCAAACAGGTTGGAGTGGACAATGACGAGTGAGACTTGGAGAGGTGCGGAGGGTGAAGCTCCTCGTTTGCATTTAAAGAGACAGCACCACAACGAGTTGATCTGAGACACACCTCAGAAGAGGGGGAGAAAGGGGCTTGTGGAGTTACAATAAGGAGGAATTCAGACCAAAGAATTGCAATTCCACTTTTTAAAGACCCCAACTGAATGATTTAAATGTGAAAAGGATATAAAACCACGATATGYCCACTTTAAATTAATTATCTGTTATCAGTATCAGTGCTGCACATTATGATATTGAGGTAATGTTGGTGTTTTAATTTTAAAAATGAACCAAAATATGTATTTATTTATTTATATTTATTCTACAACAGTGTTAGCCTGTTGGCAGGTAGGTAGGGTGTCTAAGTGGAACTTTTGTGTCAAGAGTACAGCTCCACATTAGCTACAAAGCAGTGCCTAAAAATAATAAAAAAAGAAACATAACATTTTGGCTTCAGTTTAGGACAATAGAAGCTAAAGTAGTTGCTTTGTTTTTAATTAATTCTGATGTGTCAGCATCATTACAACACAATTAGCATTTTTTTGGATGTGGTTTCTGTTTGTTTGTCTGCACGTCTGGCCCCTCAAGAACAGCTATGATGTCCCAGTGACATTCATTGGTTCAATGGTTTGAGACACTTTCTTTAAAGGGATCCCTGATTAGTTGTAACATTAGACTTTATTTAATAAACATATATTTTAGATATATATTATAGCTGGAGGACAACAGAGCTGCTTCATGG